TGCCCGACTGGTACACAGCAACCACTCAACCTGGGATCATATCATGCAGTTACCTCATTTATACGCAAAACATTACCTGTCGCAGTAAGGCAGTCGTCCGCTTTATTGTTCACAATTCGGTTCGCTGCGTAGGCCAATAGGTCACCTCTGAGACTCTGAAGATTCCTGTCCATCAAGTTGTGTTCTATTTTGAGTGAAAAAACCAGCGTGTCTCTCCGACGTATCTGAAGTTGACAGCCAGATAGCCTCCCAGAGACGTAACTTCCCGGTGACCGCTGTATCAGCTTTAACAAGATAGAAATGCAAAGGTTCAAACGCCAAGCGGTGTCAACATACTGAAACTGCTAAGCGATATCTGTGAATATGTAACGATCCTTAGATTTACCATCAGCAAGCCGAATAAATGCGGGGACACGTGAATGTTAGGTTTCTGGGCCTCCGGATATATCCACACGCAGATTTTGGCTCCACCAAGGCTTGCACAATGAGGATAGAAATCATGATATTTCTTTAAGCATCCATAAGCGATTTTGTACTGCTCTGTTGAAGTACCATCACGTTTGTGCAACCGCATTTTAGAAGCTATAGTTTATAACTGTTGACAACTTGAGGATATTTGGACCACTTCACACTGTGCTTTGTTTTTCGCAGGAATTCAAGCTGTCTAAATGCTGAGGACCACTGTGGAGCTGATTCACCCTCACGAGTCACCGAGACATTCGAATCCGAACGTTGAAGCAAGTTATTAATGTATAGTCCGTTTGGTTATGACTGACTAAGAAGCGGTGTGCCGAATTGCGCACATTCAAAGGGCGCAGTATCGCGAATCTTATATGATTGGTTGATTCGTAACCGCAAGTTGAACTCATGAGCCTATCGGCAATTGTTTCGTACAGGCGTCCGGCCCAAGGTTCTTTTATCTGAGGGGCTGTGCTTGTTGCAAAATGCTGGCCGGGCTTGAAACCGCTAAACATTCTGTTACCCAATCTGAGGTCTGCGAGACGCCTAATGTTTCACATTCTTTGGGAATCGCAATTTGCGTGATACCATATCCGCGATCTGTACTTATATCCAAACAGATCTCATGAATAGTTTTGTTTATGAACTCGCTTGTCAAGAGTTCGGACGGCACGTTTGCTAATGGAATCTGAAGCCAGTTCACTAGCTGAAGTGCAATCCTACTGGTACACGTTCAACGTGATTGCTTGCTGTGATGGATCCCTCTAGGCATTTTATCCCCCGTTATCCGCTGACGAGACGTTGGGCTTTTCCAAGACAGAGCTCTTTGTCTGAAAGCTCCCAGTGTTGTGCATTTGATATTTTCTCTCAAATAAAGCAGTCACCTAACATAATCCGCACTATCAGCGCAAAATAGTTGCGGCCAAATTGAAATTAACCTCATATGGACAAACCTACCTTTGCGCATCCATTGAGTTTTGGGTCATCATCAGGTTTGTTTTGCAACATAACAGTGATCGCTGCAAATTGAATAAAGTGGGCTGAGCTGAGAAGCTTGGAGCTGATGTGTCATGCACATCTGGATTTGATTGTGTGAGAGTGACACATTTGTGATGATCAATAAGAATTACGGTTCATGAAACGCCCAAATAGACACAGGCATAATATCTCGGACCACTGTCCCAGCCAGGATTCTGTCGCACTCCTGACCTGACGCAGTCATTCTGGCGAGTTAGCAATAAATAATGGAAGCAGTGAATTCGAGCTTTGTTTGACTAGACTTCATTACTGGGGCGTAATGTCTACCGTTCCGGGGTTTGCGTTTGAACTCCGCACATCTGACATGCGGAGCAAATGTGTTGCCGTTATTCTATGTGCGCATGATTCGCGCATCTGAATTTCGACATGTGAACTGATCAACATGTTTGCTCTTGAGAGAAGCGATTGATTGGTCCCACAACTCGATCCGCACATGCCAATAGGCTAGTCACGAAATCGAAGAGCCGGCGATGCCTCCGACACCAGAACAACTAGTGCTTCAAAGCGCACAGGGTATCACAGCCCTGTCGAACAAAGCAGCATAGAGACTCAGCAACAAAACAGATGTATATATTCCGATTACAGAAAACCAAAGTTGACCTACATAATAATCTTCACAACCACAGCATTAAATTGCCGGCATTTTGGTTATCCGTCTCGAGCGCTATTGTTAGCAATCCCCACAGGGGAAGAGGAATGTTCGCGAAATTTTCCTATTCAACATGAGCAACGGTGGCTTTTGAGCGCGGCCACAAGTAACCTAAAGCATCACACTGCCAGACGTGCTGCTTGCCTGAACGTTCGACCATAGTTCCAGAATGCATACGTACGTAGCGGTACAGAGCCCGGTAAATTGAAAGCATCCACCGATTAGAAACTCACGTGTCTCCTGTGTAGCACACGAAGCGAAGAAACAAGCAGCAAGTAAAACGACCAGGCAAGTCATCTTTGGAAAATAAACCCGGATAAATGATCGGCGTCTTACAGGTTGTCTTAAATAGTTGAGAATTATAGGACACGTCAACAAGCATATTATTATAATGTGTTTTTTGTTTTTGATTTGCGCACTTAATTGGCCACAGCTTTTCTGGATCATATTTGCATTGCGGTTAACGATTCATCACAAGGCCGAATAGCCTAAGTAACTTACTAATTATAGAAAAACAAAAGGTGAAAAATAGGATTTCCATCAGTCCGTTATTGAAACCTGATAATCAGCACAATAACAGCATTTAAAAGATCCCCGCCAGGAGATGATTCATTGTAAAATATTCTATCTGAGCAAAGTTACCGGCCAATTACTCGTGTCTGGTGTTGATGGATTAAGTCAGTAAAGGGATATGATTATCCACCGCACGAATATGGGATCTACGTATCGCGAATCAAATGGCCATTGTCGCTTGAGCAAATATCCGCATTCCTTGTCATTCGCGCCTTACCCGTCATCAGCCAAGGCGTGGCGATTCTCGTCCTGATGCTAGGGCACTTCACAAAATCCTAGTTTCCCGATGCCGTTGACGATAGAATTATGCAATATGCGAGAGCCTCTTTGGAATGGTAGGTCTGTAAATGTAGGTAACTGTTGCCCAAACTTCTTATTATAGCTTGTGGGTTTGTGACATCAAGAAAGAAAGAACTGGCGCCATTCGTACTCAATGAACAATGTGGAGAACGAGAATGAATCGATAAGCGAGGACTAAACGTTAGGCGCAGCTCTTCGTCAAGCGCATCGGTCACCATTGATAGCTGATGAGATGAATGTGGCTTAAATTCTANCGTGCTGCTTGCCTGAACGTTCGACCATAGTTCCAGAATGCATACGTACGTAGCGGTACAGAGCCCGGTAAATTGAAAGCATCCACCGATTAGAAACTCACGTGTCTCCTCTGTAGCACACGAAGCGAAGAAACAAGCAGCAAGTAAAACGACCAGGCAAGTCATCTTTGGAAAATAAACCCGGATAAATGATCGGCGTCTTACAGGTTGTCTTAAATAGTTGAGAATTATAGGACACGTCAACAAGCATATTATTCTAATGTGTTTTTTTGTTTTTGATTTGCGCACTTAATTGGCCACAGCTTATCTGGATCATATTTGCATTGCGGTTAACGATTCATCACAAGGCCGAATAGCCTAAGTAACTTACTAATTATAGAAAAACAAAAGGGTGAAAAATAGCGCAATGATTTTGAAAACGAAGGAAAGCGCAGCTGACTGCAGTCAAGAGGTTTGAATTTGGTGGTTGTGATCCCATCGGTCCGGAGCGCACTCATTTAGCCAGTTTGGAACAGTTTGTCAGAGCGTGGTCTTTGGGGGAAATAATACGGTACTCGGAAACTCGTTACTCCTTTCCAGGCTGGTTTGAATCATTTTGGATTAACCAAAATAAATCGACAGTCAGTTATACACGACCTTTAGTGTATGCAGTTTAAACGATTTCGGGAAAGCTGACCTACCATAAAACCCCATCTAGGGTGGTCTGGATTTCCATCAGTCCGTTATTGAAACCTG